CAAAAGCTGATGAAGCATTGAAAGCCAAAGAAAGAAACGAGGAAGAAGCAAAGAGGAGAAAGGAGGAAGGTACAGGCCTGTGTTCACTCTTCTCTAAGTGTGGCTGCCGGCTGTGTCCTGCTGGACTTACAGACTAGAGTCCAGACCACTGCCTTATGGGTTGGTCACCTCATGTTCCTCTGTGTCCTAAACCAGGACACAGCATCACACTCGTGATCACTGGCATAAGATTATTTTATAAGTATCCTCTTCTGTATTCTGGGAAATTGGGAGGATAGTAGAGCTGATGTTGGTTTATTTCCTTCTGACTGTTATCTCCACAGTTAACAAATTATCAAAATCAGTCATAGACATACATTACACTTGTCTATAGATTGTGAAGGATTTTAGCAGTGAAGAAGAAAGTCCTCTTGTCAACAAAACATTTTTATAAAGCTATTAAAAGGAACAATAAAATCTGAAATGTCAGAAATAGTCTTAATTCACATTAAGAAATTTATGTTTTCATTTTCAAAGATTAAATATCTTCTTTTAATAATATTTAGGCCATACTCCTAAATATTATGCAAAACAAATCAAGCATATTTTTATCTCCCCTAAAAAAATTTTTATCACCCCTTTAATTTGCTATCTGTGATTAGTATAACTGAAAATTGGCCTTCACGGAGGTTTATATGCATATTGTTGTGAATTACAATTCTTAAAGCAAGATTCAGGCAATCTTTCTCAGTGAGTTAAACTGATGATCCATTTGGATTGCCAATCATGTCACTTTACTGGCTGATTTAGCAGAGTAACTCTGCTTTTGTGAACATATGCAAAGTTGAAGCCAGATAATGTAAGGCAAAATCTAGACTATGAGCCATATTTTCTCAGTCTGAAAATTGAAACTTTTTCCTTATTACATACATATCTTTTACTATAACAATCAGAAAAAAAAATTTCACTCCCAGCCTCCAAATAGAAGCTGAGATCCAGCTGAACCTCAAATGTTTGAATATGATGGCTTAAGATGCTTAAACAGCATCCCATCAGAGCCAAGTTCCCAGAGCCCAACCCAAAAAAGAAAAAAATCTTCTGTAGATTTAGGAGGCAGAAGCCTTCAAGTAAATAGGATCAAATTAAACGTGGATGACTTTTATATGGTATGGTGTTCGTATACAGATAAAGTGTTCTTATACATACACGGCATAATGTTCTTACCTGTTGGACCCCTACAAATCGTGACTTAATGCTCTTGTCCAAGATCAGATAATTTTATACTAAGAAAACAAACAAATTCCAGTGGCAAGAATCTTTGGTGGAATTTTCCTCTTTTGGGTTCCCAAAGTGTACATTTTGTTACACTTTGTTAGTAGAAGCAATCTATCAGATTTTAGTTATGTTTACATTGTGCCCATAGTACAGATAGGTATAATACTAAATGCAGAGCAGTCTAAACAAATTATAATCTTTAAGTACGCTGTGCTAATAACATAATAACCCTTATAAAACACTGTGCTGCTGTCAATCACAAGTGTAGGACTTAGACCAACACAGTGAAAATATTGCTTATTTTACTTATTAAGTAAAATATACTTTTTTACTTATTTATTATATAAATTATTATATAAATAAATAATTATATGATAAAATATACATATTACTTATTTTACTTTAGTACTTATTAGCCTAATCTCATGAATTCAGATCTTAATTGGAGCCATAATCAGTTGAAATAGCACGGATACAAGGGAGTAACCACAGACATTGAAAGTGATGGGTACTTTATTTTTATGAAAAGTAATAGAATACTTACCCTATCAAAAGGAACTTTCTAAGCCTTAAGAACACCTCATTACATGTTGGCAATTGATATTTCTAATAGTCTTTTTTCCTTTAAATTAATCTATGTATCCTCAAAATGAATTGTTAATAATTTCTTATGTATAAATACTTAAATATTGTAATTCTCTCTAAAATAATTTTTAATTTAGACTTTTCACTAAGTCAAGCTGACCTTGTGGTTAGCTTGTGATATATATAGTACCTTTTCCATTTAATACTAGAATTGCTAGAAAAGCATTTTCTTTGATCATAGCTCTTTTAATTAGCATCTTTACAAATCTGTCATTCTAACTACAGTATAAACTCCAGGATTGTAGAGGATTTAGTATCTACCACATATGTCACAGTAAAAATTTAAGTTTCTTGAGTTATTGCATTATAAATAAATGAATGACCATTCCGCTTCATTCTTTAAATCCATACTTAAATGGCTTATCTTGTGCTTGCAATGGATTCTAAATACTCTCATTGAAAGCGTAACCCCCAAACCCAAATTACAACCACATAAAATGAAATTAAGGACTATCAAAATACTATCAATATGTGTTAATATGGATTTATCGTACCTGAGCTCACTGAATTTTCTGTGTATCCAAAAATCACAAGAAAATTATTAGTACAAATGTTGAAGAATGATTCTACTGGTAAAATATATAGTATTAGTGTATGACACTAATGTCAAAGATAAAAGGTGTATTTTTTATTCGGTAAGTGTCCCTTTCTTATTTGTCATAGATAAAAGTAAGTTACTTGCTAGACTCTTTGTTATTGTTGTGGTTGTTGCCGTTGCTTGCTTCCAGAATTTTGTCTGGTGGGTTGTCTAGATCCTTGAATGCTATCAAATTAACCTTTCTCTGAAAATGATTAATGTATAACCTACATTTATTTTATTTCACATAATTAGTCTAGCTCCAAATTGAAACCTGATATACATCAATATGCATCTGTGTATGTATTTCCGTATCTGAAAGAATAATAATCCTTTATTTTCAACTTATAAGCCACTAGTAATTCACTCTGTCACATCATTTATACAATTCAACTCTTAATTTCGCAGCATGCTGATATGCAGTACCGGGTTGAAAGCATTGTGAAATGTAGATAAATGTTGTCTACCCAGCTCCCTTTGTCTGCTCTTTGTTATCTCAGAGAAGGTATTATATTAGCATAGCACAATCTGGACCATGCAGATTCATTGTGACTATTATGTAATCCTTTCCTTTGAGTCTTCTTAAATCAATAACACAATTATGTTTTCCAGTATTGTATCTAAGATAAAAATTAGGCAACACACCAAAACTTGTGTAGGATAACTACTTTACCTTCCACCCTTTCAACAGTGGTACCCCATTTAGAGTGTTTTTCCTAGTCCTTAAACATCTGAGCTGATTTTCCATTTAGTGACTATAACTAGTACATTGGTGATGGGCCCCCTTTCTTGAGCCACTTGCTAACTCCCCTATGGTTGAGTTATCTGAAAGTTATATCATCCAGTAAAAGTCAGCTAAATACCTGAAGTTAAGGTTTATAATTGCCCACTTTTTTTCTAATTCTAGATTATATTTTAGGAAATAAATAGTATTAAATCTTTCCATTCTATTTTCCATCTTATTCTTTGACTTAATAACTTGATTTTGACTTCCCCTTTTTCTGTGTATGCATTTGAAAATGTTCTCAACTGTACTCTTAAAATATGTAACTTAAAATCATATCAACTTCTTGTGGTTTATTTCTGTTAGTAAATGTATTAGCATAACTTCTTAGGCGTTCTGTGTATTTTTATATTCAATTTAGTAGCTATTTAAGGTGCTAATTACATTGTAAGCCCATTTATAAGCATAACAGTCTCTTCTTTGCATTTGATTTCTTTCTAATATGAAATTCTTATTGGTGGGATAAGTATAGTAGCTCCTGAATTCTTTTTCCCTTGTGTTTATTCAAAATAGCTCTACCCATCTGTTAGTTTTTTTTTCTTCAAATATTTTTATTTCCAGAAGTGTTAGAAAGTCCATTCTAAATTATTCATGGAAATGGTGGACAGTGAAACTGTGAACATAAGATGAAGCAGTTCCACGGAAGACTTAGAGCAATTCTCAAGTCTCATTTGTTTAAGTTGAAATTCATCAAATCTTTTGCCACAGCTGATTGACAAGAAGTAAATGCACTAGCTTTACTGTTATCTTCTATACATACATTACTTTGGTGAACGTGAGGTAAAGAGTACTGGTAACGGCTAGGCAAAGCAGATGTCAGGCAGTTTCCCAAGTACTTTGCTCATTTTAACCCTCCTAATCCTCACGAAGTCTGTGAGGTCTGTGCTGTTGTTATCCCTGTACTGTAGGAAGAATAGGAGACTAATGCCCAAGGCCTGATAGCCAGCTGTACAGCTAATACCTGGGGAAGCCGGAATGCAGACTCAGGCAGTATGACTTTATTGCACCTTTCCCCTCTTTAAACAGCCTGCATAAATCACAACTCTTACGATCAGTGTTCAAAAATAATATGATTCATTCTTTTTTCCGCTATCCTTTGTTTTCCTCATTGGATACCTCCCGTCAGCTCCTAAGCATTTGTTTACTGTAAAGTTTTCCTGTCCTCACATAGATCTGCTTGGTTCCCACTTGGCTTTTGGGATACCCAGCAGGTGGAGTGCACGCAGAGGAGCATTTTGTCAGGGTGTCTGTCCTCTTCCCGTAACCTCTATCTGCTTTTCTTCCCGCAGACTAGCGAGGCTGTGTAAGGTACTGACAGTGTTAGCTCCGCCCCTGACCGTCAGTCTGGACAGACCTAAGTAAGCATAGGCCTTCTCATGTCCTTTTCACTAGGTTGTGCCTGTCCCAGTGCTTTGTGGTTCCTAGTATAAAACACACTTAGCACCAAGTCTCTCAGAGACACAACTGTCAGGCGCCCTTTCATTCTTCCACTGCGTTTTATTGCTGAAGACTCGGGGAAGAAGATGAAGCATCCTTCATTCCTTCTGGATAACCCTTTATGAGAAAGTTGAAGTGAAGCTGAAGGGAGAAATTAATAGGTACATGAATATCATTTATGAGTCACTAATAGTGGCATGTTGATCTGAGAAGGTTAGACAGAAGTAAGAGGATTGTCCTTTGTACCCTCCTCCTGAATTGGCTGCCTATTGTAATATGCAATGTTATTTCTTTCTTAGATTAAAACATGCAAAACCAGCCAGGCATGGTGGCTCACACCTATAATCCTAGCAATCTAGGAGGCCGAGGCAG